GTTGAGGACATTGGTTGCACACCTGGTGAACATATTATAAACCATGAAGTTGCACGCTTTAAATGGGCAAATGTATAAATATATCTCCACAGAAGAAAACAAAGGAATGGTTCATTAGAGATTCAGCGTGGTGTTTGCATCTGGGGCGTGGGCACACTTGGAACATTTGCTCAGCTCTGTAACCTAGTTGCTGGTTGACTTTCTTACTCATTGAACTGTAGACATGTGCTTACTCACACTTTCTTGAATATATAAAAATATGGAAAAAAATTAAAATATGTCCTATAAGAATGATGACAGAAAAAGAAGAAAACCAAGTATGATACAGAAACAGAAACATCCAGAAGATGTACAGCAGGCTGGGAACCAGTGTGAGGAGATGTGGAGGCTGCCCTGCCCTCCGCTTCCCTGAGTGTGGAGGTCACCTAAGGCCAGGAACCCCTGAGTACTTGTCTCTCAACTGCCCCTAGCTACAGCCTCCTGCCCCATCTCTGAGTCAGCCTTCTATGCCCCAATACTCCTCTTTTCTATAGAAGAAACAGTCACCTCCTCTAGGAAGCTTTCCCTGATATATCCACCCAAAGTGGTCTTTCACCTTATTACAAACCCTATTCCCTCATTCACTCAGTATGTTGGAATTACTGACCTTTATATTTTTCAAAATGTTTATTCATTTATTTTTGTAAGGGGAGGAGTGGGAGTGAGAGGCAGAGAGAGAGGGAGACAGAGAATCCCAAGTGCCCTGGTATTATTGACCTTTAGAGCTTGGGGTCTCATCAAGATAAAAAGCTTCTGCACAATGAAGGAAACAATCAACAAAATAAAAGGCAACCAACAGAATGGGAGAAGATACTTGCAAATGACGTATCAGATAAAGGGTTGGTATCCAAAATCTATAAAGAACTTATCAAACTTAACACCCAAGAAAGAAATAATTCAGTGAAGAAGTGGGCAAAAGACATGAATAGACATTTCTCTAAAGAAGACATCCAGATGGCCAACCAACACATGAAGAAAATGCTCAACATCACTCCTCATCAGGGAAATACAAATCAAGACCACAATGAGATACCACCTCACACCTGTCAGAATGGCTAAAATTAACAACTCAGGCAACAACAGATAATGGTGAGGATGTGGAGAAAGAGGAACCCTTTTGCACTGCTGGTGGGAATGCAAACTGGTGCAGCCCCTCTGGAAAACAGTGTGGAGGTTCCTCAAAAAATTAACAATAGATCTACCCTATGACCCAGCAATAGCACTGCTAGGAATTTACCCAAGGGATACAGGAGTGCTGATGCATAGGGGCACTTGTACCCCAATGTTTATAGCAGCACTTTCAACCATCGCCAAATTATGGAAAGAGCCTAAATGTCCATCAACTGATGAATGGATAAAGAAATTGTGGTTTATAAATACAATGGAATACTACTTGGCAACGAGAAAGAATGAAATCCTGCCATTTGCAGCAACGTGGATGGACCTGGAGTGTATTATGCTGAGTGAAACAAGTCAGTGAGAGAAAGATATCATATGTTTTCACTCATATGTGGATCTTGAGAAACTTAACAGAAGACCATGGGGGAGGGGGCAAAATAGTTACAAACAGAGAGGGAGGGAGACAAACCATAAGAGACTCTTGGATACAGAGAACAAACTGAGGGTTCATGGGGGTGGGGGAGAGGGAAGAGAGGGCAAAGTGGGTGATGGGCAGGGAGGAGGGCACCTGTTGGGATGAGCACTGGGTATTGTGTGGAAGCCATGAACCACGGTAATCTATGCCAAAAACCAAGAGCACACTTTACACACTGTATGTGAGCCAATTTGACAATAAATTATAATTTTTATTTTTTTTTAATTTTTTTCAACGTTTATTTATTTTGGGGACAGAGAGAGACAGAGCATGAACGGGGGAGGGGCAGAGAGAGAGGGAGACACAGAATCGGAAACAGGCTCCAGGCTCTGAGCCATCAGCCCAGAGCCCGACGCGGGGCTCGAACTCCCGGACCGCGAGATCGTGACCTGGCTGAAGTCGGACGCTCAACCGACTGCGCCACCCAGGCGCCCGTAAATTATAATTTTTAAAAAGCTTGGAGTCTTTGATAATGTTTCTGTGATATTAATGACGATTTAAATGTGCTTGTGGCTTGCGTCCTGCCTGTGAGCGTCTCAGGGCAGTGACAGACCCGTCTGTGAACCGGGTCGTTAGCCGCAAAGGGAAGACCTCGCTCCTAGATACAACCTCAGTCCTTGACGAGCCCCCTCTCCCCCCGCCCCAACCCCTGCAAGGAGGACGCACGGATTATAAGCAGCCCCACAAAATTCCTCTGACAAACGGAGAAATGACCCACTCCACAGACATAGCTTATAACCCGAAAATCCACTCAAAACACACATGACTTTGCTGGTTCTTCTGCCAAATGCTCAGGGAGGACACAGCTCCCCCAGCAGCACTCAGAGCACAGGGGCGCCAAGGGCACGCAGTGCTGGAAATTTCCACTAGCCTCCTTCACCCGCAGCCCGCCAGCCCCAGACCCCGCCGCCCCCTCCCTGTGCCCCTCCTCCGAGATGCCTCGCCACCGTGCACTCTCCTCCAGGATGCCAGCTCCCCCACCTCCACGCGCCCCTCCTCCGGGACGCCCCACCGACCTGGTGCACCTGCCAGACCAGGTGAGTTCCGTCCAGTCGGGACAGGAACGGGCCGTGCCAGCAAGAGCTCCCCGGGGGACTTCTCTGCACACCCAGGGCCCAAAGGAACCCCCTGTGCGGATCCAGGGGGGCAGCACCCGCATCATCCTGCTGTCAGTGCAGGCCCCCAGGCTGCACGCCCTGAACCTCTCCTTAGATCTATGCTTCAACGCAAGCTGCACCGCCCAGATGCGGCCCACCTGGGGCGAATACCACCAGCCTCCTGGGCCGCCCGTTCCTGGGGACCACGGAGTGCGTGGCCACCGCTACGTGGCCGTCCGCTGGCCCCTGCACCATGCTACCCCTGCCTGAGCCAGCAGCTGGCAGCCACCACCTGGGCCACTGGCCTGGTGGAGTCAGCGGTCCTGACACCACCCCCTCTCTGTCTCCTCTTGTGTCCCCACCGGCAGGTGGGTGATATTTTTGTGTGAGGTCCCGGCTCTGATTGCACTGTCCCGCGGAAACGCCACTTATGGTGAGATGCAGGTGGCTGTCGTGGTCCCTCACTGCCCCTGCCCGAGCAGTGCTCAGGTCAAGTCTGCCACAGGGTGGAAGAAGGCGTTCCGGATGCACCCCTCCCACCTCGCGGTGGTCACCCTCTTACGACTCAGTCATTACTGTCTATCTGCAGCCCCCAAATCCTGACGTTCAGCAAAGGGGCAAGTTGTCCAGTCTCTGCTATGCGGCAGGCACTCCAGCACTTAACAACCCTCTCGTTCACACCCTGAGGAACAGAGGGGTAAAGGGGGCACTTGGGACGCTGCTTGGGAGGCACAGGGACCCAAGGGAGTGCTGAGAGCTGCCTGGGTGCTTTCCAGTCCCCAGGGAATCAGCCTGCTTCTGTGGGGATGCCTTGTGCCCCACACCACGCCCTCCTCACCCAGGGCGCCACAGGGCTGGGCAGTAGCTGTGTGTGTGTGTGTGTGTGTGTGTGTGTGTGCGCGTGCACACACGCGTGCCTGTGTGTGTGCAATGCGTGTATCCGTCTGTGTGTGCGTGTCAGTCCATGTGCGTGTCAGTCCGTGTGCATGTGTCTGTGTGCGTGTGTCTGTCTTTGTGTGCATGTCCGTCTGTGTGCGTGTGCATCTGTGTGTGTCCATCTCTCTGTGTACGTGTCCATCTGTGTGTACGTGTCCATCTGTGTGTGCGTCTCCGTCTATGTGTGCATCTCCGTCTGTGTGTGTCCATCTGTGTGTGCGTCTCCGTCTATGTGTGCATCTCCGTCTGTGTGTGTCCATCTGTGTGTGCATGTATGTGTGTGCACGTCCATCTATGTGTCTGTGTGTGCATCTCCGTCTGTGTATGTGTGTCCATCTGTGTGTGCTTGTAATCGTGTGCATGTCCATCTATGTGTCTGTCTGTGTCTGTCCATCTGTGTGTCTGTGTGTGTCTGTGCGTCTCTGTCTGTGTGTGCGTCTCCATCTGTGTGCGTGTCCATCTGTGTGTGCGTGTCTGT